CATGTTGATGTATTCTCGGCCTATACCAGCACCGTCAATACTAATGAACATGTCGATGTATTCACGGCCTATACCAGCACCGTCAATGCAAATACACATGTCGAAGTATTCACGGCCTATAGCAGCACCGTCAATACAAATACACATGTCAATGTATTCTCGGCCTATACAAGCACCGTCAATACAAATACACATGTCGATGTATTCACGGCCTATACCAGCACCGTCAATACAAATACACATGACGATGTATTCATGGCTTTACCAGCAACGTCAATACAAATACACATGTCAATGTATTCTCGGCCTATACCAATCAACACCGTCAATACAAATACACATGTCGATGTATTCTCGGCCTATACCAGCACCGTCAATACAAGTACACATGTCGATGTATTCTCGGCCTATACCAGCACCGTCAATACAAATACACATGTCGATGTATTCTCGGCCTATACCAGCACCGTCAATACAAGTACACATGTCGATGTATTCTCGGCCTATACAAGCACCGTCAATACAAATACACATGTCGATGTATTCACGGCCTATAGCAGCACCGTCAATACAAATACACATGACGATGTATTCACGGCTATACCAGCAACGTCAATACAAATGCAACACATGTCAATGTATTCTCGGCCTATACCAGTCAGCACCGTCAATACAAATACACATGTCGATGTATTCTCGGCCTATACCAGCACCGTCAATACAAGTACACATGTCGATGTATTCTCGGCCTATACCAGCAACGTCAATACAAATACACATGACGATGTATTCTCGGCCTATACCAGCAACGTCAATACAAATACACATGTCGATGTATTCTCGACCTATACCAGTCAGCACCGTCAATACAAATACACATGTTGATGTATTCTCGGCCTATACCAGTCAGCACCGTCAATACAAATACACATGTTGATGTATTCTCGGCCTATACCAGCACCGTCAATACAAGTACACATGTCGATGTATTCACGGCCTATACCAGCACTGTCAATACTAATACACATGTCGATGTATTCACGGCCTATACCAGCACTGTCAATGCAAATACACATGTCGATGTATTCACGGTCTATACCAGCACCGTCAATACAAATACACATGTCGATGTATTCTCGGCCTATACAAGCACCGTCAATACAAATACACATGTCGATGTATTCTCGGCCTATACCAGCACCGTCAATACAAATACAGATGACGATGTATTCACGGCTTTACCAGCAACGTCAATACAAATACACATGTCGATGTATTCTCGGCCTATACCAGTCAGCACCGTCAATACAAATACACATGTCGATGTATTCTCGGCCTATACCAGCACCGTCAATACAAGTACACATGTCGATGTATTCTCGGCCTATACCAGCACCGTCAATACAAGTACACATGTCGATGTATTCACGGCCTATACCAGCACCGTCAATACTAATATACATGTCGATGTATTCACGGCCTATACCAGCACCGTCAATGCAAATACACATGTCGATGTATTCACGGCCTATACCAGCACCGTCAATACAAATACACATGTCGATGTATTCTCGGCCTATACAAGCACCGTCAATACAAATACACATGTCGATGTATTCACGGCCTATACCAGCACCGTCAATACAAATACACATGACGATGTATTCACGGCTATACCAGCAACGTCAATACAAATACACATGTCGATGTATTCTCGGCCTATACCAGTCAGCACCGTCAATACAAGTACACATGTCGATGTATTCACGGCCTATACCAGCACCGTCAATACTAATACACATGTCGATGTATTCACGGCCTATACCAGCACTGTCAATGCAAATACACATGTCGATGTATTCACGGTCTATACCAGCACCGTCAATACAAATACACATGTCGATGTATTCTCGGCCTATACAAGCACCGTCAATACAAATACACATGTCGATGTATTCACGGCCTATACCAGCACCGTCAATACAAATACACATGACGATGTATTCACGGCTTTACCAGCAACGTCAATACAAATACACATGTCGATGTATTCTCGGCCTATACCAGTCAGCACCGTCAATACAAATACACATGTCGATGTATTCTCGGCCTATACCAGCACCGTCAATACAAATACACATGTCGATGTATTCTCGGCCTATACCAGCACCGTCAATACAAGTACACATGTCGATGTATTCACGGCCTATACCAGCACCGTCAATACTAATATACATGTCGATGTATTCACGGCCTATACCAGCACCGTCAATGCAAATACACATGTCGATGTATTCACGGCCTATACCAGCACCGTCAATACAAATACACATGACGATGTATTCACGGCTATACCAGCAACGTCAATACAAATACACATGTCGATGTATTCTCGGCCTATACCAGTCAGCACCGTCAATACAAATACACATGTTGATGTATTCTCGGCCTATACCAGCACCGTCAATACAAGTACACATGTCGATGTATTCTCGGCCTATACCAGCAACGTCAATACAAGTACACATGTCGATGTATTCACGGCCTATACCAGCACCGTCAATACTAATATACATGTCGATGTATTCACGGCCTATACCAGCACGTCAATGCAAATACACATGTCGATGTATTCTCGGCCTATACCAGCACCGTCAATACAAATACACATGTCGATGTATTCTCGGCCTATACAAGCACCGTCAATACAAATACACATGTCGATGTATTCACGGCCTATACCAGCACCGTCAATACAAATACACATGACGATGTATTCACGGCTATACCAGCAACGTCAATACAAATACACATGTCGATGTATTCTCGGCCTATACCAGTCAGCACCGTCAATACAAATACACATGTTGATGTATTCTCGGCCTATACCAGCACCGTCAATACAAGTACACATGTCGATGTATTCTCGGCCTATACCAGCAACGTCAATACAAATACACATGACGATGTATTCTCGGCCTATACCAGCAACGTCAATACAAATACACATGTCGATGTATTCACGACCTATACCAGTCAGCACCGTCAATACAAATACACATGTTGATGTATTCTCGGCCTATACCAGTCAGCACCGTCAATACAAATACACATGTCGATGTATTCTCGGCCTATACCAGCACCGTCAATACTAATATACATGTCGATGTATTCTCGGCCTACACCTGCACCGTCGATACAGAGATACGACGATCTATTCGCGTAGCATATGGTTTCTTGCCGTTATGATCAGGTTGTCTTTTTGTCCTGCAGTTTGTAATATTCATTGTGCTTTCAAAATGCCAAACTACTTAACCGTAATATTCAGAATTAGATTTTTTTCAAGTTTCAACTTTCATCTTTACAGTAACTGCCATGATGAATTCAAAGATGAGAAGATCGTGTACCTTGTCGCCATCGAGGATTTAACGATTTTACAAATTTTACGATTCAATCAAAAGAGATTGGCGAGCGCATGTCTATCTGCATTAAACCCTGGCTTCAACACAGTACCTCATCCGCGGGGCCCATCATGTTGTAGTTGGGGAAGATGAAAGCTGACAATAAAATACCTTCAATTCTGAAATATTGGCGCAGTGTTTGCGGTGTAATGTAAAGTTATAAATTATCACCAGCTGAACAACAACTCGTAACACTAATTAACCCGATATCGTATAAAAATAGAAAATGTTGGTTTTGTTCAACTCGTTTAAAAATACATGTCTTGCACGTGCACCAAACAAGACACGCTGACATATATATAGTACATACCTTACCCAAACAAATGTACACATACATGTATGTAGTCTTGAGTATTGTGACTAAACATGCACACCTGTATGTATAGGACATTCCACATAATTACAATTTACAAATTACAATATAATTAATTTCGTAAACCTGTAGATATGAGCTATATCCAAACATGTGTACACCCTATATACCTTTACACATGGGATATATCCAAACATGTGTACACCCTATATACCTTTACACATGGGATATATCCAAACATGTGTACACCCTATATACCTTTACATATTGGATATATCCAAACATGTTTACACCCTATATACCTTTACACATGGGATATATCCAAACATGTGTACACCCTATATACCTTTACATATTGGATATATCCAAACATGTGTACACCCTATATACCTTTACACATGGGATATATCCAAACATGTTTACACCCTATATACCTTTACATATTGGATATATCCAAACATGTGTACACCCTATATACCTTTACACATGGGATATATCCAAACATGTGTACACCCTATATACCTTTACACATGGGATATATCCAAACATGTGTACACCCTATATACCTTTACATATTGGATATATCCAAACATGTGTACACCCTATATACCTTTACACATGGGATATATCCAAACATGTGTACACCCCCTATATACCTTTACATATTGGATATATCCAAACATGTGTACACCCTATATACCTTTACACATGGGATATATCCAAACATGTGTACACCCTATATACCTTTACATATTGGATATATCCAAACATGTGTACACCCTATATACCTTTACACATGGGATATATCCAAACATGTTTACACCCTATATACCTTTACATATTGGATATATCCAAACATGTTTACACCCTATATACCTTTACACATGGGATATATCCAAACATGTTTACACCCTATATACCTTTACACATGGGATATATCCAAACATGTTTACACCCTATATACCTTTACACATGGGATATATCCAAACATGTGTACACCCTATATACCTTTACACATGGGATATATCCAAACATGTGTACACCCTATATACCTTTACACATGGGATATATCCAAACATGTGTACATCCTATATACCTTTACACATGGGATATATCCAAACATGTGTACACCCTATATACCTTTACACATGGGATATATCCAAACATGTGTACACCCTATATACCTTTACATATTGGATATATCCAAACATGTTTACACTGTATATATGGGATATATCTGTGAGATCGGCTGCCGGAAATGGGACAATGTATGTATGTATGTATGTATGTATGTATGTATGTATGTATGTATGTATGTATGTATGTATGTATGTATGTATGTATGTATGTATGTATGTATGTATGTATGTATGTATGTATGTATGTATGTATGTATGTATGTATGTATGTATGTATGTATGTATGTATGTATGTATGTATGTATGTATGTATGTATGTATGTATGTATGTATGTATGTATGTATGTATGTATGCATGCATGTATGTATGCATGTATGTATGTTTTCTTGCTCCTTCACCAGGTGTTATTCAGAGCTAATTCTTGCCCCTTCATCCGGTATTCGTGGTCATAGGCAAATATTTCTAAGAATGAAGTTCATACTGTTAGAACTGATCATTGACCTCATTTTGAACTGATTCATGATACACTGTGAGTTGCTCCATATACATCTACTACTGAAGGGCATGCTATGTTCCTAGACTACATGTCGGCGTATACTGCAAGATTGTGCTAGGCAAGATACAACGATGATCTGCAAGACAAAGCTGTTGCTAGGCTAGATGCGATGATGAGCTGCAAGACAAACGTGTTGCTAGGCTAGATGCGGTGATGAGCTGCAAGACTAAGGTGTTACTAGACTAGCTCTTGATTGTATAAATTAGAAATGCTGTCTGGATATGCTGTAAGCCACTGATTTTGCTGGGCAAGCCCGTGATACAGCAGAGCAGATGTTCGAGCTGTATTAGAGAAGGCTGATGTGTCGTTAGAGGGACATTATCGACAATATACGTGCCAGTTATGTTGTAAACCTCAAAGGTTAGTGTATATAATTTCCGTTTCTAGGATGATAGGGCTTTGAATGAAGAAAGTATTGACGTTATTTCGAACGTCAATAAAACGATCATTAGAACAGTACACCCTGTGAGAGAATACCGGGGATAGTGGTTATGGTATCGCCATTAAGTTCATTGGATAATTACAGAGAAGCGGAGGCTTGGAATCTGTGGGTTACAACGCGCGTGATGCCAACTCGTGTTAGCAAGCCCCGGCTTATGCCCAATGTTCTTATGTTTTACATCTGAACAATTCGCTGAGCATGTTTCAGTGGGAACGTCAGGGAATCAATCTGACTTGATTTGGACAAGATGGTGGTGGTCGATAATTCATTACTGCTTCTGAAGCATGGCACGTTAGAGGCATCCATTGTTTTCACTGCTAGATTAACTAGCATCATAATGTATCGGGAGTTGACGACAGCAGATGGGGAGCTTCATATTATTAGAATCATTTAAAAATGGCCAAATGCTATTTTCGTGATCTCTTCTAGGCTATTTATATCTCAGATGTGAAGTAACCCGTATGTTGTGTGTCAGCTGTATTCAGTAACATATGTTATATTTGGGATTCCACTTTCTAAGTAAAGTACAGATTGTAGTACTTTCGTTGGGTTGAGTCCCATCTGGGATTCGAACCCACTTTCTAAATGGCATTGTGTATTCCTAGGTAACCCGTATGTTATGTGTCAGTTATGTTCTGGACCTAGGTAACCCGTATGTTATGTGTCAGTTATGTTCTGGTGCTAGGTAACCCGTATGTTATTTGTCAGTTATGTTCTGGACCTAGGTAACCCGTATGTTATGTGTCAGCTATGTTCTGGACCTAGGTAACCCGTATGTTATTTGTCAGTTATGTTCTGGACCTAGGTAACCCGTATGTTATTTGTCAGTTATGTTCTGGTCCTAGGTAACCCGTATGTTATTTGTCAGTTATGTTCTGGTCCTAGGTAACCCGTATGTTATTTGTCAGTTATGTTCTGGTCCTAGGTAACCCGTATGTTATTTGTCAGTTATGTTCTGGTCCTAGGTAACCCGTATGTTATTTGTCAGTTATGTTCTGGACCTAGGTAACCCGTATGTTGTGTGTCAGTTATGTTCTGGTCCTAGGTAACCCGTATGTTGTGTGTCAGCTATGGGTTTTTTCTAGGTAACCCGTATGTTATGTGTCAGTTATGTTCTGGACCTAGGTAACCCGTATGTTGTTTGTCAGCTATGTTCTGGACCTAGGTAACCCGTATGTTATTTGTCAGCTATGTTCTGGACCTAGGTAACCCGTATGTTATTTGTCAGCTATGTTCTGGTCCTAGGTAACCCGTATGTTATGTGTCAGTTATGTTCTGGTCCTAGGTAACCCGTATGTTATGTGTCAGCTATGTTCTGGACCTAGGTAACCCGTATGTTATGTGTCAGTTATGTTTTGGTGCTAGGTAACCCGTATGTTGTGTGTCAGCTATGGTTTTTTTCTAGGTAACCCATATGTTATTTGTCAGTTATGTTCTGGTCCTAGGTAACCCGTATGTTATGTGTCAGTTATGTTCTGGTCCTAGGTAACCCGTATGTTATTTGTCAGTTATGTTCTGGACCTAGGTAACCCGTATGTTGTGTGTCAGTTATGTTCTGGACCTAGGTAACCCGTATGTTGTGTGTCAGTTATGTTCTGGTCCTAGGTAACCCGTATGTTATGTGTCAGCTATGTTCTGGACCTAGGTAACCCGTATGTTATGTGTCAGCTATGGGGTTTTTCTAGGTAACCCGTATGTTATTTGTCAGTTATGTTCTGGTGCTAGGTAACCCGTATGTTATGTGTCAGTTATGTTCTGGTCCTAGGTAACCCGTATGTTGTTTGTCAGCTATGGGTTTTTTCTAGGTAACCCGTATGTTATTTGTCAGTTATGTTCTGGTGCTAGGTAACCCGTATGTTATGTGTCAGCTATGTTCTGGACCTAGGTAACCCGTATGTTATTTGTCAGCTATGTTCTGGACCTAGGTAACCCGTATGTTATTTGTCAGTTATGGTCTGGACCTAGGTAACCCGTATGTTATTTGTCAGTTATGGTCTGGACCTAGGTAACCCGTATGTTGTGTGTCAGCTGTTTTATTTTGTTGACTATATATGGTCCTAGGTATCCAGTTACCTGTGTTGTTCCTGTTACAGGTACCCATTTACCTGTATGTTTCGTGTTACAGGTATGCAAGAGTCCGGAGTGTGTCCAGACAGCGGGGAGTGTCCTGGCCAGGATGAACCTGTCCGCCGAACCCTGCCAGGTAGGTTGTACATCCCTTATTCTGTAGCCCTGTCAACATGTTAACTTATTTCAGAGGCATTTTAGAAGTTGGGAAGTACAATTTAGACAAATTTTATGGATCACAACTTCGATACAGATTCTTGTACCGTTGTTGCTGCTTGACAACGGTATAAGAATCTGTACCGAAACGTCGCACTCACGAGTTATTATCCATGAAGTTTGTCTATATAGTCAACAAATGATCAACTCCTACATAAAGCCTCATAAGTGATCCAACAAACAGCACCACCACCAGCAATACCACCACCAGCAGTACCACCAGCAGCAATACCACCACCAGCAATACCACCACCAGCAGTACCACCAGCAGCAGTACCACCACCAGCAATACCACCACAAGCAATACCACCACCAGCAGTACCACCACCAGCAATACCACCACCAGCAATACCAGCAGCAGCAATACCACCACCAGCAATACCACCACAAGCAATACCACCACCAGCAATACCACCACAAGCAGTACCACCACCAGCAGTACCACCACCAGCAATACCACCACAAGCAATACCACCACAAGCAATACAACCACCAGCAATACCACCACAAGCAATACCACCACAAGCAATACCACCACAAGCAATACCAGCAGCAGCAATACCACCACAAGCAATACCACCACAAGCAATACCACCACAAGCAATACCACCACAAGCAATACCACCACAAGCAATACCACCACAAGCAATACCACCACCAGCAATACCACCACAAGCAATACCACCACAAGCAATACCACCACCAGCAATACCACCACCAGCAATACCACCACCAGCAATACCACCACAAGCAATACAACCACCAGCAGCAATACAACCACCAGCAATACCACCACAAGCAATACCAGCACCAGCAATACCACCACAAGCAATACCAGCAGCAGCAATACCACCACCAGCAATACCACCACAAGCAATACCACCACCAGCAATACCACCACAAGCAATACAATCACCAGCAATACCACCACCAGCAATACCACCACAAGCAATACCACCACCAGCAATACCACCACCAGCAATACCACCACCAGCAATACAATCACCAGCAATACCACCACCACCAGCAATACCACCACAAGCAATACCACCACCAGCAATACCACCACCAGCAATACCACCACAAGCAATACCACCACAAGCAATACCACCACAAGCAATACCACCACCAGCAATACCACCACCAGCAATACCACCACCAGCAATACCACCACAAGCAATACCACCACAAGCAATACCACCACAAGCAATACCACCACAAGCAATACCAGCAGCAGCAATACCACCACCAGCAATACCACCACCAGTTAATACCACCACAAGCAGTACACCACCACCAGCAGTACCACCCACCAGCAATACCACCACAAGCAATACCACCACACAAGCAATACAACCACCAGCAATACCACCACAAGCAATACCACCACCACAAGCAATACCACCATAAACAATACCAGCAGCAGCAATACCACCACCAGCAACACCAGCAGCAGCAATACCACCACCAGCAATGCCACCACCAGCAATACCACCACAAGCAATACCACCACAAGCAATACCACCACCAGCAATACCACCACAAGCAATACCACCACAAGCAATACCACCACAAGCAATACCAGCAGCAGCAATACCACCACCAGCAATACCACCACAAGCAATACCACCACCAGCAATACCACCACAAGCAATACCACCACAAGCAATACCACCAAAAGCAATACCACCACAAGCAATACCAGCAGCAGCAATACCACCACCAGCAATACCACCACCAGCAATACCACCACCAGCAATACCACCACCAGCAATACCACCACAAGCAATACCACCACCAGCAATACAATCACCAGCAATACCACCACAAGCAGTACCACCACCAGCAATACCACCACAAGCAATACCACCACAAGCAATACCACCACCAGCAATACCACCACCAGCAATACCACCACAAGCAATACAACCACCAGCAATACCACCACCAGCAATACCACCACCAGCACATAATTTCACCACAAGCAATACCACCACAAGCAATACCACCACCAGCAATACAATCACCAGCAATACCACCACAAGCAATACCACCACCAGCAATACCACCACAAGCACTACCTCACCAATGTATAGCAATACCACCACCAGCAACACCACCACAAGCTAATACCACCACCAGCAATACCACCACAAGCAATACCATCACCAGCAATACCACACCACCAGCAATACCACCACAAGCAATACCACCACAAGCAATACCACCACAAGCAATACCACCACAAGCTAATACCACCACCAGCAGTACCACCACAAGCAATACCACCACAAGCTAATACCACCAGCAGCAATACCACCACAAGCACATACCACCACCAGCAGTACCACCACCAGCAATACCACCACAAGCAATACCACCACCAGCAATACCACCACCAGCAATACCACCACAAGCAATACCACCACCAGCAATACCACCACAAGCAATACCACCACCAGCAATACCACACCACAAGTAATACCACCACAAGCAATACCACCACAAGCAACACCAGCAGCAGCAATACCACCACCAGCAATACTCACCACCCACCAGCAATACCACCACCAGCAATACCACCACAAGCAACACCACCAGCTAACACCACCACAAGCAATACACCACCACAAGCACACCACCACAAGCAACAACACCACCACCAGCAATACCACACCACAAGCAATACCACCACCACCAATTACATCACACATAAGCAATAATACCACCAGCAATCACCACCAAACAGCACAAGCAATACCACCACCAGCAATACCACCACCAAGCAATACCACCACCCAGTTAACAACCACCATTAAGCACAACTACCACCAGCAGCAACACCAGCAGCACAACCACACACCAGCAGCAGCACCACCACAAGCAATACACCAGCACCAGCAATACCACCACAAGCAATACCACCACAAGCAATATTTAGTACAAGCAATACCACCACCAGCACACTTAACCACAAGCAGTACCACCACCAGCAATACCACCACACAAGCAGTACCACCACCAGCAATACCACCACAAGCAGTAACCACCAGCAGCAATACCACCACAAGCAGCAATACCACCACAAGCAACACCACCACAAGCAATTCACACCCACCAGCAACACCCACCACAAGCAGTGTACCTCACCACCACCACACCAATCAGCAATACCACCACCAGCAACACCACCAATTACAATAGCACCACCACCACCAATACACCACCACAAGCAATACCACCACCACAAGCACACACAAACACATAAGCAATACCACCACCAAGCAATACCACCACAAGCAATACCACCACCAGCAATACCACCCACAAGCAATACCACCACCACTAGCAATATACCACAATAATTAGTACACCACACACCACCAAGCAGCACCAATCACCAGCAATACCATCCACCAGCATACCACCACAAGCAATACCCACCACAAGCATACCACAACCACAAGCAAAGCCACCACCACCAGCAATACAACCACCAGCAATACCACCACAAGCAGTACCACCACCAGCAATACAACCACAAGCAATACCACCACGAGCAATACAACCACCAGCAATACCACCACCAGCAATACCACCACAAGCAATACCACCACCAGCAATACAACCACCAGCAATACAACCACCAGCAATACCACCACAAGCAGTACCACCACCAGCAATACAACCACCAGCAATACCACCACAAGCAGTACCACCACAAGCAATACAATCACCAGCAATACCACCAGCAGCAATACAACCACCAGCAATACCACCAGCAGCAGTACCACCACCAGCAATACCACCACCAGCAGCAATACAACCACCAGCAATGCCACCACCAGCAATACCACCAGCAGCAGTACCAACAGCAATAGTATCAATATTGACATGAACGTATGCGTATAAGAACAGAATTAGTTCTCGTCAGTCACTTCTACATGTGAGGGAAGCATTAGTAAAGCCTCACCTGGCTGACACTGTGGTGGTGTAGCGGGTGGAAGACATGATTGGGAACATCGGGCTTGTTACAAGCATGTGTCGTCCATGACGCCGTCCTGACTTCTGCACTGTTTCCCCCGGATGGAGATACGACATTCAGTGTGTGCTAGTCGCAAACAATGCGCATGTATTCAAAATATATCATTTTCTATGAAAAATCTGCTTTAGGACAGTATGACATGAAGACAGTGAGACATCTGTATGCAGTAGGACATGAAGACAGTGAGACATCTGTAGGCAGTAGGACATGAAGACAGTGAGACATCTGTATGCAGTAGGACATGAAGACAGTGAGACATCTGTATGCAGTAGGACATGAAGACAGTGAGACATCTGTATGCAGTAGGACATGAAGACAGTGAGACATCTGTAGGCAGTAGGACATGAAGACAGTGAGACAGCTGTAGGCAGTAAGATATGAAGACAATGAGGTGTCAAAGCACTGTGAAGATAGTGAAACACTGACTAGACTTAGCATGTTTTCTGACGGGTGACACCGGTGGGGCAGGATACGCTCACCTGGTATCATCACTATTTCACTGTGATTCATAAACACATGCTCTGTCCTTCGTATCGCATGGTGACAATCACTGGATTGTCTGATCCAGACCCGATTTGTTTACGAAAAACATCGTACAGCTGTAATACTGCTGAAACAAATATATACTCATGATATAGTCACATTTGTACAACCGACACTGCTTTTGGCAGAGATATCATATAAATGTGGAAAGGATTTTGTCTCTCTCACTCTATCGTAAGGTATCTGTAGGTAAAAGGACATGTAGGGAGTGAGATATCTGTAGGCTCTAGGACATGAATAGAATGAGGTATCTGTAGGCACTAGGTCATGAAGAGGATGTGATATCTGTAGAGAGTGAGCTATCTTTAGGCTCCATGACATGAAGAGGGTGA